CTCGCCCGACAGCAGCCACATTACATCATCACTTTTGCTCCTGACTTTCTCGTCATTTAGCCCAATTTTCTGACAATAATCTAATCATTCAACACCTGAAATTTGGTCGCAGTATCAGCGAGACCCTGTGGAACGTACCTAGTCCCTTGTCCTCTGCCATAGAATTCGAGATTTCTAGCATTGGACCATTGGCTGGGTACATTCCTTTTGGCAATGCAACGGAAACTGCCACCAAACAGAAGACCACAGCATTTTGTTCTTCATATCTGCCTTCTGGAATGTCCGTTTCGCCAACAATTGTCTTCCACACTCTTACCAATCCGACTCGAGTTGGTTCGGGCTATCGTATCGATTGAAGATCAGGCAGCTTTCGATTACACACACACACACTCAGGTTGTACGAGCCAGGACATGTCTTATTCAGTGAGCCAATGCAAGGAATTGCGCAAGTACGAGCTCGCTCTCCTGCCTCACCGGTCAGAATGTGCCTGGGAATTCAAAAATTTCTCATCGATCCAGCTCGCCTTTATTAGCATCGTTTCACTTCAAAACTTTCTGTCTGTCCGACTGCGCCCCCTCAACAGTCTTAGCGGCCTCTTCTTCGTTCAGGGTCAAGGTAAAACTTTAAATATCGAGCCTCTTCTTCGAAACTGCCCATAACTATTCATGTTTTATGCTAAGCTGGTTTGTTCTTTGTGTGAAGGTGCATTGAAGAGCCTCGACGCCACAAGATTCCAAGTTGAGATGGCGCCTCGGAACCTGAACTCATGCTTATATCGACTTTAAACTGGGACTTAATCAGGAAACCTAACCAGCCCATCGGAATCAGCCACAAACCGTTTTTCCACACAAAACAAAAGTCATTTAAGCAATTATTCACACGCAGTGATTAAGTGAAAAGCAGATATGCTTCCTGGCAATTTCTGGCCATCGTGTCAGCTTAATAGGGGCCTAGCAAAGAGTAAAAAATTGCCATTTCGGAGCACAAAAGCGTTCGATCACGTGACATTTGACACAGCATATGCCATGAGTCAGTCTTCTTTATGACTTCTGTCGATGAGCAATAACAGCTGAAGCCAAAGTCTGTAAAGCAATTTGAAGAACGCTATTGCTTTCAAATGGAGTAAGGTGGCAATTAATATAATTCGGAGCCGTCTAGTACACAATGTCCATTTTTCAAGACAATACGCCCACAAACTTGGGGAAAACTATCCTTTAAACAGCCTTAGTCATTGTTGCCGACCTCCTCATGCTTTCTGGGAACATGTAGAAGGCATAGACTGCAAACAACGGGATAAATCACACAGAATTGCAAGAAGTTGTAATCGTTTCGAAAATTCCGACTTTTAAGCGTTCAACTACCTGATACAGCAGAACTGCACACCTTCTTCAGTCTATAAGAGGCAAGTCAAGAGCGAAGATGATGAGGTCGGATAGCGCGAGTAGATGAAAGAAAATAAGAATGTCATCATGCAAGGTTGTTAGGCGATCTTTTCTGAATAAGAATGGCTACTAATAAAAAAATGCCAGGGTTGGCAAATGTAGAACTATTGGAGATCACCGTAAGCTTGTGATTGCTGTGCTCCTTTCTCTTTCGAGGGAAAGTGTGTGACGAAGAAATTCGAAGATCTATCTGACAAGAAGAGGATAAAAAAAAACCTGGGATCAACCTTGGAATTCCTTTCTCAAACATTTTCACTCGAAACGGAAGTGAACATAACATTCAATGGTGATTGCCAAACCCGAACACATACATTTTAACTACGAAGAGTAACTGTGTTTCAATAATCCTTCAAAGATAACATTGTTGGAGAGACTTTCATTTCGCGTGAAAGTGCATGAAGAAGAGATTCGAATGCCCATCTCGCCAGAAGACCAAAGCTGATTCCCGTTGTACTGCAATTATTTGACTTTAATACGGAGTTCACGTTAACGCTCAGCCCGTTTTCACCCGAAACGAGGAAAAATGTCGCGTGGATAGGGTCAACCAGAACCTCACATTAAAGCCAAATGGCTGCAGTGCAACTGGAACCAACAGTCGTCTCCTAGTGAGAGTGACCTTCGAATATCGTTATCAGACACACTTTCATATGAAATGAAAGTCTCGCCAGAACCCAGATAGATAGCCATGCTAACTGGACACACCGCTTGACTGAATAACCTGATCCGTCCTTGTCGGTTTATCTAAGCAAAGTTTGAATAATACGCCGATTAAAACAGTTGTTAGGAGGGAAAACGAGTAAGCCACCTTGTGTAAAGATTTTTTTTCTGAAACGGTCAATCTCTAGCCTAGCTCGATTTAGCTCATAAGCATGTCTTAACTGCTAAAGTCTCTATGTCATCACTACAATCTGAGCGATATATCAACACGACTAACAACTCAGAAACAAAAAATCTAAACCAAGCTATTTTCAGCGGTAGTGCAAAGGCCTATTGGTGCTACTGGGTTCTGGGCAACTTAAGCATACTTCTCATTAATATGAGATGTATTCACTCAATTTCGTTTAAGGTGATGAACGACTGGTAGTAGAATTTTCCCACAATGATATGACTTGAGCTGACGTTTCCATCGAATTTCACATTGCCAAAATGTTGTGCTCATCCAGGCACCAGTGGACTGCAGTTTCGACCTCGCATCGGTCTTATCAACACCCCCAGCGGGATTCGAACCGCGACAGGGCAAATGTGAATTTCAAGAAAGGCCAGGCCTTTCGCCATATCATATTCTTTGGTGGGATTTTCGATGAAGCAAACGTATATTTGCTATAACACTCGACTAAGTTACTTATTTTTCGTATTTGAGTATGGTTTCGAGACTACCAGTAAATCAGTAATATGAGATGTATTCACCCAATGGGAAAAATAAATTAGCATAGTTAGTGTTATAGCAAATATACGTTTGCTTCATCTACAATCCCACCAAAGAATATGATTTGACAAAAGGCCTGACCTTGCTTGAAATTCACATTTGCCCTG